AGCCAGTGTAGCACTTCTTTGGCCACCGTCCTTTTCAGCCTTGTCCTTCGGATAGCAAGGATTGCCTCAATGAGGTTGTCCATGGGATATCCCAAAATCCTGGATTCGGTGCAGAAAAGCTTCAGCACCCCAACTGCATCACCCTGGTTCGTCGTATTTGTTAGAATCCTGTGTATGGTCGCCAGTATCATAAGAGATTTCGATTTCATAGGGCCAAAACTCCTGAAGTGCTTTATTGTGCAAAAGCGCCCAGAAGGTTGTTGGGGGGTGCGAGGAGAGAGATTTGTGGCGCGAAGGGGTAGGTTAGAGAATGCTAGACAGAAAGATGGGACGTGGCCACAAGGTTTGGCCACGTGGCAACAGAATAACCATGCCTTGGGTATGGGCTTGCTTACCTGTTTGCCACGTGTAATTGGTGATCTTAATTTGTCACGAGTAATTGGCGATCCCAATATGTATGAATTCCGTAAATATGGCTGCCATGCGGGGATTGTCATTTCAGTTGCGCTACAAATTCGCCATGTGGCAGCGCAGGAGGAACAATAGTGTTATGCATTGGGGCAGCCTATGTGGTTCACTGCTGTTCTGTAAAGTAGGTCACAATGATTAATCTAGGTTTTGTTCTGGGATTCGCCACAATTGACTTTGTACCTCCCTACTCTGACTACCTCTTCCCCTCATGGCGCAGTAAGACTTTTCTAGAATAAGTCGAGGGTTTCTCAGTAGGGATATACCTTTAGTGTGATGGGTAGTTAATCCCCTCGGTTGAGGGCAATCAATGCTGCTCATTAGGTTGAATCGATAGTGCCTACGTGTTGGCTCATCAATTGCTCAGGATTCTAGTAGGATGAACACGTGGCATGTTATATGACATCTGGTTGTTTACAGGGACGCTGGACCCGTTTTCCAGCAGGTGATGCTCCCCACCAATAGATGGAGCCTCCCCAAGCCTGCTAGAGGTGTCTGCTTTTATCAGCGCTCCTAGCAATCACTTGGGCTGTTTCTTCGGAAAAAAAAGAGAACTGGCCCAGGGCACCCTCTTTGCCAACAAAGCTGCGATCTGCCTCTCCAGATCGGAAACTGCCAGACCTCCATTTTGTGTGCGTTGTGTGACCACCTCCCTTGAACTGACATTTCGTGAAAACTGACATTGTTTTCTAAATAGTAAATTCATGAAAGTGGGCTTCTTCAAAATTTCATTGCTCATTAGGTGAGAATTTCAAAGTGTTACTTTAATATTACATAGCTTTCAATAGTTTTGAGTGTCATCATCATCATCATCATCACCAACAACTTCTTCTACTATTAGTACCATCATAACAGCTTAAAAAAAAAGAAACTAAAGAAAAAAAAAGTAGCATCATCACAGCTCCTGAGGGACGCTGAGCACGGTTCTCAACCGGGTTCTGATCTTTCATTCTGGGTACTAAACTGTGAGGACCCCGACCTCAAAATTCTCATTGGTAATATCAGCCTTGAGCACTGGGCCCGTGCCAAAAAAAAAAAAAAAAAAAAAAAAAAAAAAAAAAAAAAAAGTAGTGTTTAATCTCACTTTGACCATCGGATGTATCTCAACGTAAAGTACCGTCAAAATATATTGAAGGGTCCAATCATCAGGCTTCGTCACGACACCCTACCATCAGATAGTCCGACGTCATGGGGATAAAAAAATGCTAAAAACTACTGCGTTTTCTTTTTCTTCGTACGCTCAATTTCGTGAATTTAGAAACAAAGGAAAAAAATGGCAGTTTTAACGAAATGTCAGTCCTTGCCACTTTTGGCTGGAAAGTTCCATAGTCCACTTCTTCTTTCCACAAATAATGCATGACGCCGTGACCAAATTGATGTACTGTAGTCTACACCAGGGGCACCGAGGGTGATGTTTTCGAGTTAAGAAAAAAAGAAAAAAAAGAAAGAAAGAAAGAAAGAAAAAAGTATAGTTTGCCAGGAGGAGGTTGAATCCAGCTGAAGAATTGCGTGCAAAAAGGGCTCACTCCTTTATATTTTATCCAGGGCTGGAAAGCCAACCGTAAGGCAGCCAAGGAAAACGAGGAGTCCGACCTCGAACGAGAGGAGAACTATATAATTATGTGCCCCAACAATCGCCTTTGTTGAGTTGGCATGACTATTCTCAGTCCCCAATGCTCTGGAGGCTTGATCTCCTGCCAGTGGGGGTATATAAGGGCCAGATCCCACTGGCAAGGAGGGTTGTAGTAAGTGTCTGAATGTGGACATGTTTGTGAACAGGTGCGAAAAAATTGTGATTGATCTACTTTTCTGCATCTCTGCGTGTTTGGCATACTGCGTAACGACACAGGCCCTGCAGGGCCCGTCTCGCACTTTCAGCCTAAAAGCCTAGAAAATAGGGCTTACAGGCCCCGGTCGTTTGAGCCTGAAACTGAAAAACAAGGGCCTACAGGCCCTATTCCGTTTTCAGCCTATTTCTGGGCCTTTCAAGCCCAGAGGCTTTTCAGCCTGAAACGGAGGGCCATTTTCAGGCCCTCATTGTGTTTGACCTACCCTAAGACTCAGGCACAAAAACAGGGTTTCGGGAACAGGCTATTTCTGGCCTGTTCACCACGACAGCTCAAGCAGGAGCTGCAGCGGCAGCCCCTGCCTCCCTTCGGCATTGGCAAGAGCAGCCTCCTGGACTACCTCGCCTGCAGTCAGGA